TCTTACAAAAATCTCAAAATACTTAGCATGCAAATTAGCTGGTTAAAGTATAATTGAAATCACAGTAATTCAGCATCTTGGAAGTGTCCCCATTACCATGTCTAAGTTTTTTACAAGTATCTAATGTAGTCTGAAGGCGGATAGATTCCAGACAGATTTTTTTTAAATGCCTAAAGATAAACTTTTTATTGTTTAAAAATAACATCGAATGTTTCATATTCTTAAAAATCAGTTTTGTCCATATAATAAATATCTTTCTTAAGTTTATATAGCTCTTTAAAACACCAGAAATGGTGACGTATTTAGATCTTGATATGATTAAGAATAAAGTATATTTCTCCTGAAGTGCTGGAGGAATGATCCACCTTGCAAATGGGAAAGTCAAGGAACCTTCCGAAGCACAGTGAGGCTCTGCAGTCAGCGTGGAGCTGAGTTTGCTGTTGAGGGTAGTTCCTCTTCTGGGGCAGTGGTGAGAGAAGGGGAAGACGGCCTTGCATCACGGTGGAGGCTTTGTTCGTGAACCTGTATCACTCCGAATAGAACATGAGCTCATGTTACTTCTGTTTCCTTAACAGGCTTTGGACTTCTTGCTGCTGATATTTGCAGCTGCGGTGATGGTGTGGGCAGACCATGAGGCCCCACTTCTCCTTGGCCTCAGTGCCAGTTGGTTGCCATGGCATTGGGAGAATGGTGCTAGTGGGCCAGCAACAGCCTTGCTTGGCAGGAGTCCGATGCATAGAGTGACCATGCAGGAGGTTCTCACTTCCCTTCCCAGTAGCATGCTACTGCTGCTACAGAAAGAGCCGTGGAAGGAACAGACCCAGAAGGTGAGGGGTGGCAGCTGTCTGCTTAGCAGGGCAGGCAGGCTTTTGTCTCCAGCTCTCACTGCTGTAGGATGGAAGTGGGAATTAAATAAAGCTTGGATCGCACCAAAGGCTTTCATACATAGCCCCAAGTATCACTTTATGCCATGTCCTGCAGACCAAGGCCAGCACAGGCTCATGGTATCTGTTGTCTAGAGACAACAGCAACAGCAACAGCAGCAGCAACTCATTTATGGTGAGGGGCAGCTAGAGATAAAGCCTGTGTCTCCATTCATTATTGAGGGCACACGCGCTCTTGGTCCTAGGTGGAAAGGATGCTTTTACCTCCAGTCCTTGAAGTCAGGCAGATGAAATCAAGATTTGGGATGGTTTGCTGTGTGGAAAAGAGATAGACGCATGTCCAGGGGAAGCTCAGAACATTCTAGAGGAAGTGTAGGTCTAGAGTGAGTAGCTCTCTTACCGTAACACAGCAAAGGGCCCATTTGGCTTATTTCTTTTTTTTTTTTTTTTTTTTTTACTTTGAGACAGGGTTTCTCTGTAGCTTTGGAGCCTGTCCTGGAACCAACTCTTGTAGACCAGACTGGCTTTGAACTCCCAGAGATCCGCCTGCCTCTGCCTCCCAGGTGCTGAGATTAAAGGTGTGTGCCACCACCACCCGGCTTTATTCCTTTTTCTTTTCCTTCTTTTTTTTTTTTTTTTTTTTTTTTTTTTTGAGGCAGGGTTTCTCGTAAAGCTTTGGAGCCTGTCCTGGCACTTGCTCTGTAGACCAGGCTGGCGGCGAACTCACAGAGATCCGCCTGCCTGTGCCTTGCAGGTGCTTTGATTAAAGGTGTGCACCACTGCCAGCTTCCATTTGGCTTATTTTATCTCACAGAGCCACTATGTGTACCTGCCATAGCTGGCCTGTTCAAGAGCCTGATCAGGGTTTTATTACAGCCCTATCCCATCACCTCTGACCTCAGGAAAGCCTGTGTCATAGGAAGCACTTTGGGATTTAGTCCTCCAGTGTGCAAACTCAGCAGAACACATAGGAACATTGTCTCCTTTGCTTGGCTTTATCTGGCTCCATCCCGTCTTTAATACAACTAATTGGAAGATCCTTTTTTGAATCCCATTTGATCAAAACTTGATTTTTATGATGTTGAAAGCTTTAAGCTAATGATTTGTTGCTTATTTTTAAGATATGAACATTAATCCTTAAAAGCATTCTGAACCATGAACCCGGCCTTAGCTACGCCTAACCTGCACTGAGCGTCTCAGCTGAAAGGCCTTTCATAGTTAAGTCAGATAAGATTAGGAGGCTGCCCCAAGCTTTGCAGGTTTTGTTCTACCAAATAAGTGCTCACTGTATTTGGTACACCAAAATAAGTGTAGTCTCTTCTGTTATTTCCAGACTGGGACACTGTTTGCTTTAGATAAAGGATAGACATCTTAAGTTTATTATATATTTGTAGTGATTATTTGTCTGCTAGTAAGTTATTAGACAAGCTGAGGAAGGAAATTTTATGAGCCTATTATCCATAGCCAAAATGCATATGGAACCAGTGAGAGGTAGCATGATGGACAAAAAATAGCTTTGCAGCCAGGTGTAGCTAGGCTCAAATCTTGACTCTGCTGTTCAGAGGGAGGTGGCTTGGGCAAGGTCACTAACCTGGCAGCCTCTCAGGGTGACTACAGATAATGTTAATGATAAACAGAGTCCTCTAAGCCCACGCCTAGCTCACTTATATCTGTAGGGGAAATGGTTTAGACTTGGTGAGGCCTTTTGGTTTGGGAGCTGTGTTTTTGGCCCTGTCTCACCTCTGTACCCCTCCACCCTTCAGTGTTGGTCTTACTTCCCGTCTCATTTCTTCTACTCCAGCCTCAGCAGGAACTGCTAGAAGACTGTTGCCCTTCTTCTCATGTCTGCAGACCACTGATCTCAAGCTGATGGTGGGAGTCCGTCACTAACAATGTTCTTTTTCACCCTAGTTCATTGACTGGCTGTTTAGCATCATGGAAATTCCTAACGCAACCTTTGCAGCAAAGTCTAAGGATCTTTTGAAAGGTATTAATTACTTCATGCTTTATGCCCAACATGTGGTAAACCACCCATTGCTGGCTGTGATGTGGAAGAGCATAGTTGGATACATGGTTTCAAAAAAATGTCCTTAATGTGACCTTGCAAGTCAGAAAAATGGGTTAAAAAGGAGGATTAGTGCCTTTAAACTTAACTTTTAGATAAGTGTACCAGGTATTTTATTACAATAGTAAAATAGTTAAAATTTATAAAATTCAAGAAAGTAAAAATACAGTGAGCAGAAATTCAGACAGAGTTTTGGAGACAGCTTTGATGCCTTCCTAGGACTCAGCATCTTTGTGATCTGGAACAGCTGAGAGAGTGCAGTAGACAGTTCTGATTTCACCTTTCGTGGTTTAGCATTATTTTTAAATTCTAAAATGAATTCTTACACTGGCTTCTAGTAATAGTCGGTGCTGCTTAGGGAACTAGGCATCCAGGGTTTCCCTGTTTTATACTTCTCCATGGACTGCCACACTATGACTGTAGGAAACCCCAAGTGTAGAAGATCTTTCTGAAAGTTTTATAGAGCCCTAAACTCAGACACGAGGTATGATTTGGCTATCAGTCTCCTGATCTGAGATAGCTTGAACTTGTCACCTATGTCCTGGGTTCTGGACATAGCCAGTGGCCACTGCAATGTCACAAGACATGGATTGCACCGAGAATTGCCGTTCCATTAGCCTACCCTGTGGTGATTATCTAGCTTGGAATATACTCATATTTTACTTTAAGGAAGGTATAATAATATTATTACTAAACAACCAAGAATTATGGGTGAACGGGAAGCATGCAGATGGGGGTCAGTGCCTAATGTGGTTCTCATACAGCACAGGGCTTCATTGCAAGTCAGGGCTGTGATGAAGATATTTCACTTTATCCATTCCTAGGGAGCTGGCAATAAGAGTCCCTCTGTCTGTGTGCTGCAGGGAGTCTGGGCTGGTGATTGATTCAAACATATGCTGCAGTTACAAAGCTAACAACTGATATCAATAAAGACATCACTTGGCTTAAGGAATCACACTTTTACTAGATCACAAAGTCATTGGCTTACTGGATTGACCTGGGTGCCCTACATTCCTTCGCTTTCTCTCCTTTTAAATAATATCTGAATATATTAATATGCTAGAATAAGACAAGAAGTATGTACTAATTACTAAAAGATATAATTCTGAATTTCTCTACTTCAAATGGCTTCTTGGGTCCCTTAACACAGTAGGAAATACATACCTTACAGACATAGGTCCACGTAAAATTTAGTGTGGTATACTTGCTTCATTGAGCACATGAACTCAGCCTTATTATAGGTGTGTAAGTTTTTTTTTAAGCATTTAATGAAGATAATTGTGTTCATGTATAAAAGAACACAAATTTAAAGTAAATTGTTACAAAGGGAACATACTCATGCAAATAGTAATGCATTAAGAAAAACAGTATCATTAGCATGCCAAAAATCTATAGTTTTGCAGACTTTCCTATTTACTGATTATAGGCTAACTTTCAAAAAAGAAAAAAAAAATGCCAATTACCTTTGCAGTCTGTAAAACCTGTGGTGGTTTTTTTTTGGGGGGGGGGTACTATAAAAATTCTAAATTCTGCCAAGATTTGAGGGGAATCATTGTTAGTCTTGAAGACTAGTTGGGTGGGGAAGTGCCAAGCTCTGCTCTGACACCTTTGATAACATGACCTTTTGAGACCCAGCATAGCTCTGTCAGATGCATCTGTATGCTCTCTTGTCCTCCTAGCTACCCTCTTGTCCTTGCGAGTTCTGCCGGAGTTTAAGAAGAAGGCTGTATGGACCAGAGCATATGGTTGGTGACATCCCAGGAGCCAGCAGCATCCCCACTGAATGAGACAGACCAGAGAGACAGAAGGTTTTCGGGACTGGTGTCTGAGATTGGTGAGAACTAATCCTCTCAGTTAAAAACCACGAGAAGGTGGCTTCATACTGTGGTCTGAAAAGGGGTGCCTTACTCGGGTACTCTGGGTATTTGAAGCAGAAATAGGAACATGACTTCTGTGTGACCTGAGTTCATTGTAAAAAATTCCTTTTCTTTGTGAAAACTGAATTATATTTTTTTCTCCCTTAAATTCTAGTAAAATAATTTTATGAAATTTGTGTAATGCAACCTTTATTTTTAAGTCTGTGGTTTGCCTGTGAAAGTGAACCATAGAGGTGTCAAGGGTATGATGATCTATTTTCCTTGTTAGCCACAGAAGAAACCACTGAGTCAGTGGGTTAGACAGATTTTTATCCTTGCTGCTAAAACACACTTAAGAGAACTGCTAGGCACATTCAGATCGCTAGGCATGACACCCACTGGTACCCAGGTTAGGTTTCTCAGTGACAGGTGTAACTCCTGTGCTTGGTTGTCATGCGTCCAAGTGAAGGTATCCGCTTCACAGTAGCAGTAGCCGCAAAGGAGACTGTGAGTTCACAAAGAAATCCAAGGTAGGTGTGATGAATCCCGTGATGCTGATCCATTCCTCTGGAGATGGTGCATCCTACTTGACAAGGTGTCTGACAGCAACCTCAAAGGCACAGAAAGGTTCTTTTCCCCACAGCCATGGGAGAAGCAGCACCGTGAGGACGCTAGAAGTCATGTAACGCTCTGAACAAGTATCTGGTCACTGGCAGGTGGGATACACTCGGTGACAAGGCCTAAGTCACAGGGGAGGGAGCCCCAGCAAACCACCTGACCTAAGTTTCCACAGGAGAAAGATGATAGGCTGTTAGGCAAGCAAAAACGGATAGCTGGGTCCTCAGGAGATCACCCTTTTTATAAATCCTGCTCCCTTCACCAGAGTGATCCATGGCCTAAAGGTTTGAGAGATATCACAGTCTCAGCTACTGCAGTGGCTAGAAACTCAGGCAGCATTTTAATTTTGTCCTAATTATCGTGACTTCACATGGGCTCAGTCTGCAACTAGTCATATAAATGTAAAAATAGGTAATCATTGTGAAGAAGTCATGACACTGAACACCAGGTGCTTTCGTATCTGCCATGCACCATGACTGGGGCTTCACAAACACCACACAACTTCTACTACTCACAGGTGGCACATACCTTCTCGTCCCAAAGTGCACCTGGCACGTTCAAAGTAGCATTACTAATTTTATTTTCCAGATATATAATTTCTTTACAAAATAGACTACAAGGAAATAAGTTTAAGACAAGCGAGAAAGAAGTGATTTATACAGCCTTTTTCTCGTCCCATGTGTAATAGAGACTGAAAGACATCTAGCATTTACTATTGGGTGCCAGACAGTCAGTACACTAGACTTTTCATTTGGCTTAGCTTGTTTGAAGTCTTGCAACAATGCCCAGGGAATACTGTTTTCTATTTTAAGATGGAGCAAAAAATATTTAGTAAGTGGGAGTGTTTTACCTAAAAGCAAGGTCCTAAAGCCTAGATCCAAAGCTATTGCTACTGCATCAGACACCTTGGCTCCCACTTTAAGGTGCAGATCTGCTAAGAGAAACACCAGGCTTTTGGCACTGGGAAGTTTGAGCCTAGTGGAGCAAACCAAGTGTGTCTGCATGCATTAAAGAGCTGTGGATTCCAGGGTACCTTGGAAACACAGGAGACTGAGCCCTGAAGAGGAAGTGGGCACTGGAGACATCGTGAATCAGCAACCAAGCATTTGCTGATGCCAAGGAAAGGAAGAATCTGCCTAGACTTCAAATTTCAGATTTCTCGTGTCTTTTCAGCCTGATTTCTTTTCAAACCTGGTATTTCCTCCTGTCCTTCACAAGAAAACAGAAGTTTACAAAAAGAAGGAAATAGAATAATCCTCAGTCTCCTCTTTCCTCGTCCTTTCTGTTTTGATCAGTCATGGATGGAAGTCATGAGGTTTTCTGCCTATGGACCTCTAAGGATTCTAAATTGGTAACTCTAAAGATTAAACTCAAAGGTATGCTAACGAAATAATAGCCTCCCTCCTGGTTACCTGTATGACCCCCAAATAAGTGTTAAATTGTTCTATCACGTTGCTCCACTTTGTTTGACACAAGCAAGCTGCTGTTTCTTTTTTAGACCATGTTCTTAACTATACAAAGGAGTCTTGGTTTCAAGTCCTCTCTTGTCAGCCTTTGAAAACAGGAGTTGCCAAGACGAATAGTATTTGGGGATGCACCAGTGTAGGGCTAAAGCTACATTGTGCCTCAAGAAGTATCCAAACACAGGTTGGATTTGGAAAGTGTGCATTTGGCAAAGATGTGGGTATCCATGCAATTGTCTAAAATCATGTTACAGTCATAATTTAATAGCCCCATGGTATCCAAGGGGCTGCTAAAAAAATTTTATGACTTGAATTAGTAATGTTAACATTAAGTAGAAGATGGAAGAGTTTTAAGATGCTAATGTCACCTTTTAGGGTTTGGTAAAGGTGATTGTAGTCAAAGCTGAGGAAGAAAAGACATCTGGAGTGGAAGCCCCATTTTTCTTAGGGAACTCATCATCATACAAATTAGGGCTAATAAGTTGCCCCTGTGTAACTTAGGGGGCAACTCTGATCATCTTTGATACAGGATCAGAATGTATCTTTTGGAGATATATCAAAGAGTTCAAGTTCCAAGAAGTCCAACTTTCTTCCTATTTCTGTTAGCTACAGCTCAAACTGGCAGTGTTCCTGTTAGAGCAGCTGATCAGATCTACAGTTCACATCTAATCTTACTGAACTGGCTAGCATCTTGCTCTTGGATGTCCAAGCCTCTAGAACTGTAAAACATAAATTTCTGTTGTTTTGACAACTAAGCCCTGGGGGTGGGGGGTGCACTTTGTGACACACCAGCAGCCTGAGCTAAGACACAGAAGATATTTGATAGGTATCTAAGTATACATAATGCTCAAGCTGCTTGGCTCTAAGGGCCGAGGCATTTGTCTGTAGAGTATCTAAGTATACGTAATGCTCAAGCTGCTTGGCTCTAAAGGTAGGGAGGGCATTTGTCTATAGGTATCTAAGTATACATAATGCTCAAACTGCTTGGCTCTAAGGGTGGTGGCATTTGTCTGTAGAGTATGTTATCCTAGGATTAAAGAGGATACTTTACAGCGTTCCCTTCCTATAAATCTGCTAGTTGTGATTGCAGAAGTTAATCAATTGGTTTCTCAAGTCAATTGAGCTTACTCCACTGAATCTATTTCTCATCAACTTCACACAGAAACATTTAGACCTCACACTGTGTGAAGTCCACAGATCTGGTGCAGCAAGGTGTGCTGTGCCTGTGGAAGATGTGTTCGTAAGGCACGGTCGAGGCAGAACAGAATATGTGGTGCCTGCAGGAATCCATGTAAAAGATTGTTGTCGAGTTCTCAGTTCTCTTTCTCTAGCATATGCCCAGGGTTGTATCTGCTGCAGGGTGACCCAGCAGCCCGTCTTCTCTCTTGTGTGATGGTCAGGAACAAAGCCTCACATTTTCTTCTGTTTGACAGAGAAGACTCTGAGGACATCTTTTCTTTCTGTGTAAAGATGGCTGTAGGTGAAATACATTCCTACGGTGCAAAAGGAAGTGAGGTGGGTTAACCATTCCTTTGAAAAGATCTGTGGTTTTAGGACACAGGCAGGGGGCTGCTTGCATTCTGGAAGCTACAAAGTTGCAAGGGAGGCTCAAGAAGAGCAATGAAGAACCATCCAGGTCTAGTAAGGTGAACATCCAAACTGCCTAGGCTCCCACAAAGCCAGTACGTGCAGTAGGATCAAAAACCCATTGCCATTGTTCTTGAGTTCTCAGTAGTCCTCACTGTCCGCTATGTTCAGCGAGTCCGGTTTTATCCCATGATTTTTCAGACCCGGGCCAGTTGAAACCCTGATTGTTCTTTGGGCTGACAAGGGAGGGGGACTTGACCGGGGGAGGGGGAGGGAAATGGGAGGCAGTGGCGGGGAGGAGGCAGAAATCTTTAATAAATAAAGAAAAAAGAAAAAAAAAGAAAAAAAGAACCATCCAGATTGTATGTAGAAGGAATGCAAGCAAACTCTTCTGTCCAACTCACTCTACTGCAGGCTAGCCCGCCCCTCCCCCTCTTTTTTAGTAGCTTTCCATGCTGCCTCTAAACTGTCCGCTTTTCTTCTTCATTCATGTGTGGTATTCTTACCCTTGGAAGCTGCTGCCTCGCGGACACGATTAGTATCTTGATAAGCTGTGAAGGGTGGAGTAAACCATAGAAGTCTTTTCCCCAGTTTCTTGGAAAACAATGTTAGTAAGTTTGTGCAGATATAATTTTTTATTAGCCCACACTACATTTGATTAAATTACTCTTAAGTAGCTCCACTCTTTGATTGCATATCTCCTACATACATTACTGTAGTATATTAGTGGGTTCGGTGTGGTTATTTCCACACATAACACGTGACATGCAATGATCAAATCTCACCTCCCTTCTGGCATTCTTCAAGCCCCTCATAATCACAATTCAAGTATCATGTCAATTTTTAAATTTTCACATGTAAGAGAGAACATTCTGGTTTGCTAACATGCCCTCTATTTCCATCCAGTGTCCTAGAATAACAGGAATTATTCTTGCTTGCTAAGTGTCCCACTGTGTGATCAAGCACGATATTTTCTCTATCCATCCATGTGGGCATACTCGTGGGCTGGTTCCTTATCTTTCTGTTGTAAATAGTGCCACAAATATCACGGGTATGCCTTCTCTCGCGGGCTGCTGGCTTTACTTCCTCTGTCCTCTGAGGGGCAGCTGGGTCGTACTGTAGCTCTATTTTTAGATTTTTTGCAGAACTTCCACACTGCTGCAGTTGTAGCCACACTAATTTGCATTCCCCACAACCGTAGTAGTTTCTTTTTCTCCACATCCTCACTAGCATTTGTTTTTGTTGTTGTTTGATTGGTAACCGCCAGTCTGCCTGGGCTGAAATGATAGCTCACCGATTGTGTTTCCCTGATGGTTAGTAAAAGGAAACATATTTTTCATAGTAATTGACTGTTTAAACATATCCTTTATAAGTCTACTCAAATCACAAACACATTTCCTATTTGTATTACTTATTTCGTATTAAAATTTTTAAGGTCTCTGTATCTCCTGAGTAGCTGGCGACAGTTCTCTTCCTCTCTGTATGTTGTCCCTTTGCTCTTTTATTTGGTCTGCTGTGTAGAAGCTTTCTAATTTAATTCATTTCATTAATCTCATTAATTCTTCCTCATGTTTCCTGAGCTCTTGACATCTTATTCAACAAATTATCATGTGTACCATATTTTTGAAGTCTTCCACTGGTACTTTCAGAGTTTCGGGTTTTACATTAAAGTATTTGATAGTTTTGAATTCTTTCTGTGTAAGGTGAGGGTCAGGTCATGTGTCAGTCTTTTGCATGTGTATCTCTTGTTCTCCCAGCACCATGTGTTTCTCTCCTGTGTATTGTTATTGTTGGCATGTTTATTTCCTTTTTTATTGGTCTTTTATGCCAATGCTATACTGCTTGTTACTGAGCCTTGTGTCTTGGAATTGGGTGTTGAGATACCTTCAGCTTTGTTCTTTCTGCTTTAGGGTGTGGGGCTTACATACTAATTTTATGGGTTTTGTTATTGTTATGTGAAGTATGCTATTTATTGTTTTATTCTTTTTAAAATTATTTTCTTAAAAGCTTATGTGTGAGTATGTGTTTATGGTACTGCACATGTGGTATGCTGGTATGTATGCCATGTGTGCAAATGTAGTGGCCAGAGGAAGACATAGCTTTTGGCTGTGCCACTCCCTGCCTTATTCCATTGAGACAGGGTCTCAGTGAACCTGGAGCTGGGCTAGCAGCCAACAAGCCCCAGCAATTCTCTTGTTTCTACCTCCAACAGCCCCAGAGCTGTAGGTCCATGGCCATGTCTAGCTTTTTGGTGGATGCTGGGGATTCAAATTCAGGTCCCCATGCTTGTATAGCACAGCTCTTATGCACTGAGTGATGATCTCGGTCCTCAAAATGTCAACAGAGTTTTGATGGCGATTGCATTGAATCCCTAGATCACTTTGAGTGATACGGACGTTTAGTGATTGCTACCAATCCATGAAAACTGGCGACCTTTCCACCGTTTAGTGCCTTCAGGCTCTCTCACCAGTGCTTTGTGTCTTTGTTGGAAAGGAATAGTACTTCCTTAGTTTGTTCAGTGCTGTATTTTGTGGTTATTGTGATTTAGATTTCGTTTTTAAATTCTTCCTTATCAAATTTGTTATGTGTGGAAGGGCTTTTCAAAAGACAGAAATTAGACAAGAGTCATTCTGAATGAACTTTTAGTCAGAGGAGGCTGTGGAGTGCGAATGTCCCTAGGTGCTGCCCAGGAGAAGGGCTGCTTCTGCTGGTTTTGTCCTACTGCTCAGTCTGTTTCTCTCTCCTGATAGTTCTGGTGAAGTCTTTAGCTGTCCCCCAACACACCCTGTGGTTTTTCGTTTGTTTTGCTTTGTTTTTAAGACAAGGTCTCACTCTCTTGCTCAGACTGGCTTCAGAGGGACAATCCTCTGTGCCATCCTCTGGAGTGCTGAGATTTCAGGTGTGAGCCACCATAGCTGGTGTTAACATTTTTCTGTGCATCTGCCACAGCATGGATAATTTGACTCCAGTCCTTCCTGTGTATCTGCCTTTCTTTCTCTTGTCTAATTGCTTTGACTAAAATGAATAGGACTCCGAATAACAGCAAGGAAACTGAACATCTTGTCTTGTTCCTGATAATAGAGGAAACACTTTGTTTTTCAACATTCAGTATGATATTAGTTCTGGGCTTGTCATACATAACTTGTTCTTGTATTCTCATCATGAATGGGTGGTAAACTTTATCAAATGATTTTTTACATCTGCTCACATAACTTTTATATCATATGGTAGTTTATTGTTTTGTAGAGAATGAACCATTTTTGAATCTGGGAATGAAGCCTAGTTACAGTGTGTGATCTTCTGATCTACTGATATATTGTTAAGAGTTCACCATCTGTTGGCTGGGCTGTTGATCTATAGTTCCTTCTCATTTCCTACTGCATTTTGGTAATGCCGGCCCAAATGATTGCCTCTTAATTTGAAAAGAATGGGCACTGGTTGCTCTTGGTTAAATCTTGGTAAAATTCATCCATGAAGCCATCTTATACTGACTTTTCTGCATTGGGAGATTTATTACTTGTTTATTACTCATTACTAGCCTGTTCAGGCTTTTCTATACCCTGTTAAATTTCTATATCCTGTTGGCTGAATTTCAGGTGATCTTTTGTATCTAGAAATGTTTCCATTTTCCAATTTGTTAATAGGTAGTTTTTAAAAATAATCCCAACTGATCTTCTGCATTTCCTTTAACACGTCTATCTTTATTTCTTTGGATCTTCTATTTTGGGGGGGCGGGGGGAGGTTATTCTAACTGAAAGGTTTATCTGCTTTTTTCTGTTCTTTCAAGGAAATAACAAGCTTTATTTCATTGATTCTTGGTACTTCCTATTTTCTGTTTACCTATGGTCTGATTTTTATTTCTCTCCATATAGTCATTAGGGATTTGGTTTATGATTGTTTTTCTTAGCCCTTGAGATGCATGTGTAACTTATTTATCTGAAATACTTATGTTTTTATTCATTTTTCTTGGTACTGTTTTTGATGTATCCCACAGGTTTAGGACCCTGTATTTCCATTGGTTTCAAGAAATTTTTCCCTTGGACTTTCTCAGTGGCCTTCTGTTTGTCTGTGGGAGCAAGTGAAAGCAGGGTGCAGCCAGCACCTAAGTTTCTTTGTGGTCGTCTTTGGGCCATGTGCCCTGTAGACCAGAGCGCCAGCTGAAGCCTTAGCATTGCTCAAGGCCACTACAGTTACCCCTGTGGTCAGAAAAGTAATAGAACCACAGAAGTCTTGCCTTAGCCTGTAAGTGGGAGGCACCTATGCTTGTATGTGTGTGGAGCTATGATTCTGTTCTCTACTAACCATACTCTGGTTTTAGAGGGTAAGGTATTTAATCCCCTTTATTCAACACAAGTTTTCTGGGACTCTGTTCCTTCACCCTTACCCAGAAGGGTATTCCTTCCCACCTAGTAGTGTAGATAGCATGGCAAATACTCAAATATTGTGTATCTATTGCTGTGCCATGTCTTTTAGTATTACAATGTTCTGGTTTCTTTGAGTGTTTTCTTGTACTCTCCTCAAAATGTAGCTCCAAACCTATTGCTGGTGTTCTCTTTGTGACACAAAACACTGATGCCTTCACTCAGCCATTTTTAAATCCCACACAAGTATAACTCTGTGTGTGTGTGTGTGTGTGTGTGAGAGAGAGAGAGAGAGAGAGAGAGAGAGAGAGAGAGAGAGAGAGATTCAGTGTTTTATTTTTATTTTTGAGACAATTTCTATCAGGCCCTAGCTATCCTGGAACTTACTATATAGACCAGGCTAACAGTGATCTCCCTGCCTCTGCCTCTCAAGTGCTGGAATTAAAGGCGTGTGTCACTAAAGCCTGGCTCAAGTGTAACTTTTGTGTGTATAAGTGTTCCATCTGCATGTATATATGTGCACCACACACATGCCTGCTGCCGGAAGAGAAGGTGTGGATCTCCTGAAACTGAAATCATGATAGCTCTGAGCAGTTCTATGGGGACTGGAAACTGAGCCCAGGTCCTCTGTAAGAGCAGCAAGTGCGCTCTTAAGCACGGTGCCATCAATCCGCTCCCTCCCCACAACTTAAGTTTTTGTTCTTTGTTTTCCTTGAGCCTTTATCACCGACTTCCTGTTTGCCTGCTAGGGAGTGCTAGCATGTAAAGCCAAACAGAAAGCAAAAAGGGTATAAATGAAAAAAGTAAAAAATAGGTATTCCCTCTGTTTGACATGTTGTTTTATAGGCATATCTTTGTGGTAAAAAGCATGTCTGTGCTTCATGCATCTTGCAGGCATATGTTTTACGAGTAGTGTTGTTCTTGCTAGACAGTGAAATTGTGTAGTACTTGATTTCATGCTGCCCCACAAAGAGCTGCAAGGGCCTTAACCAGACTATCTAGTTCATTGTGTTGGGCTTCCTTTTTAGTCCCCTCACACTTACCTATCAGCTTAAGTCAGTGGCAGTATAAACCACAAGAAGAATGCAAAACCAAAATATCTGCTTACCTATGAAGAGCAGCATGAGATACAGCTTCAGCACGTAAGGCAAACAGGTGGATATGTCGAACGGCAGCACAGTGGAGTTGGTGCCAAACGACTCAAAATAAGGCAGTGACTGGTAGATGGTAAATGCTGTATAAAGAGAACAAAGATGGTGACGATTCACTTACGAGTTACAGATGTGTGTGCATGTGCAGCTTGAGTGAAGGAGCTTTGGCGTCAGCAATGTGATGGCTGCTGGATCCTTTAGTTAAAGCTGCAACTTGATGTATGGACTTGCTTTTGCTGCTTAAATTGTTCTAACATTCTGACTTAGTAAACTATTGCCCATTGTACACCTGCTGTTGAAACCACACATTTCTTGCTTACACAGAAAGACTGTGTAACACTTCTTAAAATGATTACTCCAAAGTACAGTTCTCGCCTCGCTCACAAATAGGGAGACAGTCAGGTATGGGAAGCGCTACGTAATTTTCCCCTTGGCGTGAGATGAAACATGTTTATCAGCGGAGACTCTGAGAAACAGACCCCCATCATGCCACGACTGGCCTGAGAACGGCTTCTTTCTCGTCAGCTTTCTCGTCAGCCCTAGAAGTACTTAGCACGAACCTGGAGCAACTCTGAGAAATGTCGACGTAAATTAGTCTGTGGGAAGAGGCGAGTGTAGTGTTGCAAATAGAGGATCCATCAAAGTATATCATATGTTCACTTTTTTAAATATTTATTTATTATATATGCAATATTCTGTGTACATGTATGCCTACAGGCCAGAAGAGGGCATCAAACCTTATTACAGATGGTTGTGAGCCACCATGTGGTTGCTGGGAATTGAATTCAAGACCTCTGGATGAGCAGTCAGTGAGTGCTCTTAACCACTGAGCCATTTCTCCAGCCCATGTGTACGTTTTAAAAATAACATTTCATCCAGTAAAATGACATGCTATAGTTATCTAAGCTGCTGCCATCTGGAAGTGAAGTAAATGTACTTAGATTTTTTTATTTTATGTGTATTACTGTCTTGCCTGCATGTTCGTAAGTACACTACATGCATGCAGTACCCATGGAAGCCAGAAGAGGGTGGTGGATCCTCTGGGACTGAAAGTACAAACAATTGTTAACTGCCACGTGGGTGCTGAGAACTGAACCCGGGACTTCTAGAAGAGCAGCCTCTGTTCTTAGCTGCCAGGCCATCTCTCCAGCCTTGTGGTGCATTCTTTTTACAGTTCCCTATTAGTCTGAAGTTGCTTCAAAATAAAAAGTAGTTGCAATGTGATAAATTCAGTCAGTAGCTGAAGCAGCTAGATAGGGATGAGTGGCATTGGTGCAGTACTTCCAAAGGACACCACACAAGTTAAGTTTAACAAGGGTGGTCTCCAAGTCTCCAGCATTTTGACATAGAAGTGATTACTTGGATATTTATATGAGCTTTGTTAATTTGTTGCATTTTCCAGACATGGAAAATACAGCTTTAAAATTAAGAGTTATTAACTTTATTAAAAGCTAAGTAGATTTCCTTCCCTGTCTGGTTTTATACTCTGGAACAGTTGACACAGGCAAAGGATAGATCGCAGGCCCCTTCTTCACTGTCTGGGCTTAGTAAAGGTCACAGGCCCCTTCTGCACTGTCTGGGGTTAGTCCTCACCAACACTGGGTTGTCTGTTTGCCTGGGTTTTCTTCTGCTGATGCTTTGGGGAGAGTAAGACTGTAGGCTAGTAAAAGAAAAAGAACTTCCCTCAAAAGGAAAAGGCTTAGAATTCTGAACACCAAGAATAGAAATGTTTCTTGTATACTTATTCTTCCTCATTTTTAGAAAAAGAGTCCATTATATAATCTTTCGAAAACACTTATTTTGCAAGTATAGTTTTAATTAAGAAGTCATAATGTATATATTTATGGATAATGGTGCGATGTTTTGATATATACATGCAGTGATGAATGATGAAAGCTAGTATTCAACATCTCATATTGTTGTAGTGAGATAACTGAATCTACTCTGTTTAAATAAATGTACTCTATTATTAACTTACATTGCCGTACATCTTACAATTGTGTTTCTCCTGATGTCAACCTCTTATCCTTTCCAGCATCCAATCCTTTTATGTTCTTTCTAGTATTTCCATATGACAAGGCAAATCAGTGCACTTAGCAAATCTTCCATGAATGAGGGATTTCATTCGTAAAGAATGGATGGCTGAGTTTGTTGTTGTTGTTGCTTTTAATGCTTTGTAAAATATTATTCTCTAGATTCTCTGAATATAGTATATTCCAAATTTTAACAATTAATTTTAAAAACAAAAGAAAAATTAAAATTCTGATTTATTGTCTCTAGTCATAAGTAAATAGAAAAACGTGTGTGGTTTTCTTCTCTATACCAGTCCTCATTTACTTGTGGCTATTATTGACAACAGCATTCTCTTTATAATGTCTTTCTTTGCCTGGAGTTACTTTAACATGCTTTTTGCATTATTTAAAATCTTTAATCTTGACTTTCAGAAGAAACTCCCTGCAGCCTGTCAGATCCACTACCGGGGGAGTGTTTGTTCTTTGCTTAGCCTCAAGTTCTTTGAAAACTGCTCACTTTGGTTATTTAATTTTGCTTTATTAAAAGAGTCAGTAGTTGATCTCCTGTTTGTTGGGCATGTATGCTGATGTGTGTTTGAGAACGGAAAGAAGCGGCATACCAGACTGACTCCTGTGTGTACACATGGAACCTGTTCAATGAGGGGAATGGACATGTAACCAAGAATCATACAGAGTCTAGTTGCAGCTGAGATGTTCCCTGTAAAATAATAATCCGTGGTGCTGTACTGGGAAACCACCTTAGCTGAAAAGTTGGCGGCATCCCTCTGAAAGTGGAGACTCGTGCGAGGGTGGCCAAATGGTCACTGGCAGAAGTAGGACGTTTAGGAGGTGGTGAGAAGCACTCTAACCAGAGATGACTGAATTTCTAAATATTAAAAAATTAAACTCTATCTTCTTTACATATTAAACCCAGTTTGGAGTTTGGGAGGTGAAATGAGTTGCCCAGACTCATACTTACTGAAGGTAAGGACCTGGACATGGATGCTTGTTTCTAGCCTAGTATGGCCACCTCTACCTTGAACTTTAGTAAGTTCTCTCTCTCTCTCCCTCTCTCTCTCACCATCCCTTTCTCCCTCTCCCCTCCCCTTCTCTCCTTCTCCCCTTCTCTCCTCTCCCTCTCAATCTTTGAGGCAGGGTCTGCCTGTTTATCCTTGACCGTCCTGGATCTGTGTAGACCAGGCTGACCTTGGTGTTTCTGCCCTCAGGGTTACAGGTGCACACCACCACACCCCACTGAGCTGTGCTTCTTAATGGTTTCTTTGCAGCAAGGAAATAGACTGGGGAAGATATCAGTACGCCAAGAACTATCAAAAATAAATAGCTGTTTCTTCATCAAAAAAAATTAGTGAGCAGTTTGAAATCAATGGCTTATATGAGTCAGAACTGTAACCCAGGACTCTTACCTTCGGCAAGAACACACAGAGGGTAAATTGGCATCCACAGCGTTTGACTGAGCCATGTCAAGAGAGCGTAAGATGTTCCGATGACTGACAGCATGCTGTACGTGTACCTGGAAGGAAATGGGTATCATTTGTATTCATACGTATCATTTGCTGCTGCTGTCTGAGATAAAGAGAAGAAAATGCCTTCCTACAAATTAAACACCGGAATAAAATTGGAAGTGTGGGAATTACATGCTTTATTTCCTATAATTAAGCAAGGACAAGGGTGAAAGTGGTGTATCGTGAGGTGGGGAGCCTGTCTCCCTGGCTTATCTCATTGGGTGGATCATAGATAATTATACAGCTGAACAGAACAAGAATGTAGCTCTTACCTCCTCCCAAGAAATTACAATTATAACCTTCCATGATTAATGACTTCAATTTTATTTAAAAGCCAAGCTCGTTTTGTACAGCAACAGCTAGGATTCTTGAAAAGACAGAGCTATTTGCACATATTGTAAAGGATGAATTTATTAAAACACAACTCCTGAGTTGACACCTACCATTCTCTGCGTCTCTGGCTTTGCCCCATTACACAGTCAGAACTGGCCTTGGGAGCAGGTTTGGGGTGTACTAGGCTATGTTTAAACCTGCTAGTGCAAAGTATTTGATGTACTTTTATTTATCTGAATAAGCCAATGGTGTCTTCACTTCAGCAAACCTCAGAATTACCCAGATGGTCTATTGACTCACAAATTACTTTTCCTTTCTTTCCTCTAAATTTAGTTCAGGATCCCAGCCCATGAGATGATACAACTCCCATTCAGGGCAGCTCTCCCTCAGCTGAACTCTGGAATCTCATAGAAACACACCCGAAGGTGTGAGCATCTAGTCAAGTTCTCAGTATAAACCACACAGTAATTAGTGATCCACTTCAAGTCATCTATTTATTTTCTTTTGTTGCTTGTGGTTTTGGTGTCCTGTCTAGGGGTACATTGCCAAATGCAACTTGATCTTTTGCATGCAGTGTCCAGTTGTCCTGTTACTGTTTAAGATGACGCTTTCCCCCATTGAATCTCTTGGGACCTTTGTCAAGACTTAACTAAAACTAGAAAACATTATTTCTGAACTGTTGATTCTAGTCTCTGATTGGTCCATATAGTAGTACCACACTCGTGATTATTGTTGTTCTGTAGTTCTGAATTGAGAAGAATGAGACCAATTGTGTTCTTATAAAGGTCTTGACCCATCTCAGTTCAGGTTTCTATGCGAATTTTAAGATCAACCTCTCAATTTCTGCAGCAAAACCAGCTGAGACTCTTAACAGGGCTCTCAGTGACTCTGCAGATTTGATTTGGAGTATTTTCATCTTAACAATATTGTCTCCGATATGAAATGCCCTTCCATTCATCAAGATTTTTATTGTACAAGGTCTGCTTATTTTTGTTAATGTATTCCTACATACCCCATTCTCTTGGAAGTTATCATAAACAGGATTACTTCTGTTATTTTCATTTACAGATAGTTCATTGAAAATATATAGAAATACATTGATTTGTATTGATCTTGTGTTATACAACTCTGATGAACTTGTTGGTCACTCACAGTTTTCTACGACCTGGATCCATTTTTCCCCTAGTTGCTGTGGCTAGAAATTCCAATACAGTGTTGAACAGTATGGATGTCCCTATTGCATTCTTAGGAGGAATACATCCATCTCATCATTAGCTCTCATGTTAGTTGTGGTCTTTTCACAGGTGCCTTTAATGGGCTGAGTAAGATCCCTGTTTGTTATTTTCTATAAACAAATTATTTCACATAGATTGAGATGATATTTTCACTCCCATTTTGCAGAAAGAAAAACACCATCAAAAGAAGAGCCCAGGGGGTTTTACTGCTGGCTATAAGGAAAACAAAAATGTGTGCGTGGGTGCTCATGGAAGTATTTCTTATTTCCAGAATGTGGGAATAATACAAATATGCATCAACTGTGTGGACAACCCAGAAGTGTTGTGGTGATTCAATGGAATATTATTTAGCCACAAAATGCCACGAAATACTATTACATGCTGCAACACCATATAAACCTTGAGAACATTATTCCAAGTAAAATGAAGATAGTAACAAGAGACTTTATATTCAGTGACTGCATTTATATGAAACATAAAATAGGGAAACCTACAGAGATAGTATGAGAATAGTTGCCAGAACCTGGGGAAGCAGGGAAGCGGGAGAGAGGTGCACATATGGGCATGGTGTTCCGAGTGGCTAATAAAGTTCTTTGCCTGAATAACAATGATGGTTGTGCATCTTTTTGAATATACAGAAACTCACAATTTTATGTTTTAAAAAGTTAAATTTGTGGTAGCTAAGTTATATCCCAATAAAATTGTTTACAAAAAGTTAAGTGATTTTCCCCAAGATTGTGTAGCAAATAAGTAGCAGAGGATGGTTTCATCCTGCTGTGTCCTCTGAGTCCCCAAATCATCCCATGCAAGTCTGTTACCACTTTCAGCACAAAAGTCATTGTGTTCTGCTTGAGTCTGCCTGAAATTGGATACTGAGTTAGACAGAATCGTATTCCGTTATATTGGAAAGCTGTGGTCCCTCGGGAAGAGTCAATGCCTTGTATAAATAGGCAGTCACAGGCTACAAAAGTCCTAGTTTAAAATTCTATTTTTAGAACATTAAATAGCTTTCTAAGTCAATGTACAATCTTTCCTAGGACTCAACCCATTGTTGAGGCTTTATTTTTAACTCAGCCAAGTTATTGACAGTAGAATAAAAACAGATTTATACAGTTTCAGCCAAAAAGCCAGGACTCTTTGGGACCTGTTGCCATCCAGATCTTTGGAGCAACAGCAGCTCAGGAGATGGCACAGAATGACTAAGCCATTGGATCCCACCGGAGTCGTGTACAGAAATGGATATGGGGTACATTTTCCCCAGAGAAATGAGGTCCTATTTTAAAATATTCCTTAAGTCACAAAAAACAATTATTGTAGCTGACTTCTCTTTGCTGTGATAAAATATTGACCCAAACTAATGTGGGAGAAGAAAGACTCCAAGGTCATAATCCATCAGTGAAGGAATTCAGGGCTGGACCTGAAGCAGTGACCAGGAACACTACCTGCTTTCTTGCTTCCAGGCCCACGGCAGAACCGTCCTTCCTCCATAAATTAACGATCGAGAAATGCCTCCACATGCCAATCCGGTGGAGGCAGTTCCTCAGCTGAGGTGTCCCCTCTTCCCAGGTGTCAGGTTGACAACTGAAGCTAACTGACACCAAATCTGGCTTCTGGCAAGTAATGCAAGTCCTGTTTTGCTTATTAAAATAATGCGTGCTGGAGCAATGATAAAGTGTCTTCCATTAGCACATAGCTGTGAGTTCATTCCAGGTCAGTGTCCTGGCAAAGCCTCATGCTGGGAACCTGGGGGTTCGGATTTGTACTTGGAATACCAAAATTGGTATTTGTTTTCTTTGATATGTCCATTATGGGAAGCTTTACCTATATGTTTCTATTTCAATATAAACAATATGCAAAGAGGTTTTGTTTTTTCTGTCTCATTCATAGTAACCAACGTGAGAGCCATTACTCATTTCAGTAAAGCAATTTTTCCTTGTTTTAACAGATTGATGATTGACACAGGCTCTGTCCTGGCTGGCCTCAAGTCCTGGCTGGCCTTGAACTAGCTGTGTAGGCTAGGGTAGCCTTGAACTCACAGAGATCCACCTGTCTTTACCTCTGAGGTAAGGATGTGCACCATGCCCACTATGCCCAGCAACTTTGTTTACTTACCTTACCATGTCCAGGAGATTCCAGAAGATGAATAAAACACACACCACATATTTCTCTTGGATTTCCTCTTGGCTGGTGATCACCCCAAAAAGGATGACCACTCTCTCTGTGAGCTAATTAAAAAAAAAAAAATTGAGAAATAGTATCATCTGTTAGGCTATTTAACTTTTCAATTTTAAAATCCAGGGCTTTGTTTAAAAGAAATGCCTTAATTGGAAATACATTTTCTAAACTATTAACAATAGGTGTCTCTGAAAGAGCTGGGTTACGGATGAATTTAATTTCCTGTTTTTTTTTTTTGGTGTTTTTCTGTACTTTTCTAATTATTTATAATGAAAATAAGATAACAGTTTACCTAAGTCAAGATATTTCCTCTCTTCTTGACCTACACACATGTTTAGCCCACTTTGGCAAGCTCCTACCTGAGTGTCCTCTACCCATTAGGCAATGCAGTGAAAACGAAACCTCCTCCAGAGCTGGTGGTGGGGAGGGTAATTACAGGGCAGGATGCTGAGGCAGGACGCACAGCTAAGGAAGGAGATACTTGCTGATGGAGAAAGGGATGTGAGAGGTTCCTGAGGACCAGCAGCATCTCAGCTGTCTCCTGCTGCATGGACTGGAGTTGTCAGGCAGAGTGAATATAGGAAGGCGTCTAGACAAGAGCAGCCTGATCAGAAGCAGCAGTGTGACTATGTGAGATGCCCCAGGGGAGGAGCAAGAATCACGGAGAGAATCATGGGTGGCATGGAGAAGGAAAAATAGGGAAAGAAATTGAAAATGTGTTTGGAGCTGGGTTGTAAAGGGTTTTGAATGACAGGTCAGGAAATTTCCATTTTAATCAATAGAGAAGCCACTGTAACTTTTTTTTCTTTTTGCGGGGTGGTAATGTAATGCTAACCTTCATAAGCCAGTGGAAAATGGAAAGAATTTAACACATTCTTGGAATATATGTTATATATGCCAAGTTACAAGCATCTAAAGATCACCAAGACTTCACATATTTTTGGCCTAGCTCCAATTACCAGCTTAAATCAAACATCATCCTCATTCCCTCCAAAGTATAAAGTCCCCTGTTATAGTAACATAGCCTTAGAGTCTACATTTTTGTGTTTTATAGGGCATTTTTCTTTGCCTTCAGTGGTCAAAAGATTGAGATTGATGTGGCATATTGGTGGCCAAGGGAAATAAAATAGAAAGGGGTCATTTGTCATTTTTCATAGCCAACTTTATTTTTTTAAAGCTGATTAAGGAGAAAAACTCTGGAATAATCCACAACAGAATCATAAGATGTTGCTGTAAAAAAAAGAAAAAAAATCCGAGATTTGCCAATAGCAAGTCCACATGATCGGAAACCCACATGTATGAGCTATGTCAGCGTGTTTCTGACTGCAGAGGTGAGTCAAGAGGGCCCTTGCATGGCTAAGGGGAATTAGACATGATTCAAACTTAGTCAATCTATGGGAGTTATCCACAGGGCTCTTTTCCCTTGGTCAGTCTTTAAGATATAATGATCTGGTTGCTTGATTTATCTTGTGTCTATACGAAGTCTTCTAAGCTGCAGTTTAAATAACTGGATAGCCCGACCTGACTGCAGGACTCCTGGCAGCTTGTGAATGAAAGACTTGAGCATCTCACAGATACTTAGACACCATCTCATCTTGCATTTGATTAATGCCTAAAACCCAGAGAACCTATGTTTTTGCTAAAAATCTCAAGAAGTATGCACACAGAGATACATATAGCATAGATTCCTAATCTCATGGTTGGGTGTTTCAAAACCTAAGATCTATAGTATCCCTTTGCATAGAACATTCTAATAGTAGCCTAAACCCACTCTCACTTGAATGAAACCTGGGAACCAGAAGATGTAAATGTTCTGTCCACACCGTGGGTGAGTAGGAAGCCCAAGTCTCCTAGTCACTGGATTTGTAAGCAGCCTATGTCAGGTGCTCTTTAATGGTGAGCAAAATCTAGAGGAAAATCTCCCACTGGGGCTGAATGATGAAACCATTAAAATATCAGTGATATCAATGGAGACTCTGTGGCTCTTTAGTGACGGGGTCTCTAGTTACATGGAAATGAGCAGTGGGTGTGCCCCCAAATGCCAACCACAGCATGCATTTAGACCTAGAAAGATTCCCGCCATATGCATTGTTACATAGTATTGGCCTAACTCATTATCTGATGGTTATTTAACTATACTCAATGACAGCCCAATAGAGGCGATTGGTTAGAGATATTAAGTTGATAAAAGTCAATACTTAAAACTTTCTGCCAATTTCCAAATTTACAGTTTTTTATTCAATCGCCACAGCGACTCTAAGTCACTATTACTGTTTATTTGCCTTACCCCAAAGCTAGTGTTTGGCTGGGCTGAAATCAAAATCTAAACTCTAAGTGCTGTATTCTGAAATACCAAAATCTTTTCATTTTTGTCACTTTGGGGACCACTCCAGACCTAACATCCAGTCTATGGTCTGTTTTTTAAAGGAGTTTCTGCAGCTGCGTAGATGGCTCAGCAGGTCAGAGCACTTGCAGGGAGCCTCGTGACCTGAATAAGCAGCCATGGAACCCTCATGAAGGTGTAAAGAGAAGGGACTCCTCAGCCTTGTCCCATGATCCCAACATGTGCAGCCTGTATATACATTTTTAATTAAAAAAATTACTGGTTATGTTATTAAATAATAAGGTACTTTGTTGAAATGAAGGGTTTCTGACCTGAACATGGGTGCTCAAGCAAAAAACTCAATAAACTCAGTGGTCCACACACAACAGAAGGCATGAAGGTGGGGCTGGGGAGGGGCATGAAAATGGTCAAAATTCATTAGTAAATGTATGAAACTTCAAACAATGTTTTTTAAATTTAGGAAATAGGGAAAATGAAGGGGCAAAAACAGCACACCAACTGCATGAACTCTTTCTCAACTCTTTTTAAGTTTCAATCTCAGAATTATTATTTTCCAAAATTTAACTATTTTAAATCCTATCAGAATTTTCAAAAACCACAAAACACATTTATATGCTCTACATGCTTGTATGTGAAGAGATGGGGTACACATGTGTGAACATGTGTGTAAAGGCCAGATGCCGATGTCCAGTGTCTTCTTTTCACTGAGCCCAGAGCTCATTGATTCGTTAAGACAAGCTGGACAGTAAGATCCAGAGGTCCTCCTTCCTTCTACTGCCCAGCACTGGGATTAGAGGTGGATGCCACCGCACCTGCCTCCCTGAAAATGTTAACTAGCTGTGGGATGGGAGGGTGATGTGTGTGGTGTGAATGCCATGGTCCACGTGCGGTGGTCCAAGGACAACTTTGGGGAGTTGGTTCTCTCTCTCCACCTTAAGTGAGTCCCAGGGGATCGAACTCAGTTTGCCAGATCTGTGGCACAAGCACTGAGCAATCTCTCTAGCTAAAGACATAAATCTTTAAAAAATACTTGTTATAAAACATTTATTTCTGTGGAACGTATGTGGAGTACTGACTCAGAACATCCAGGAGGGTCTTGTTTTAATGTCTAGTTTTTAAGGAGAAATTCTACTAAGAAGCAGAGCACTGTCTGGATGTTAGTTTTGGAGTGGCCACCAAAGTGACAGAAATGAAAAGATCAGAAGATCGTACTTAGGGTCATACTGTCCAGATTTCAGTTCCAGATCTGTAGGAAGTAGTGTTTGCAGGACATTTTCCTGCAGAGATAAATGAAAACTCAGTGGGTTTTAAAAAGCCATTCTACATTTGTAAAGTTATACCATGAAGAGAACTTGGTACCTGTCCACTGAAGAACTCCATGGAGCAAAGTGACAAGGGCTAAAGACCCTAATGTTCCCATAGAGTGAACTCTGTGTGTAGTTCACTCCCCAAAGCGTCCAGCTTTGGACACTTACCCCTCCACACATCAGTGGCTTAACCTCTAGTAATAAACAGAGAGCAGGCTCATAGCCTACAGGGAGAGAACTCTGGGAGAGTTTATGGGAAGTTCAGAGATGACCTAGTCTAGCAATGAAAGTCAGCTGCTTCCCAGCCTAGAGAAATCAGACTGGAAGTAGCTGTCTTTCACACAGGAATTAGATGCTCTCCTTCGAGATTCCTTTGTGTGTCCCCCAAGAGCTCTCCTTGCCCTCAGCATAGGTATGAGACAGAGCTGACGACATTGGTTAATACAGAAGTGTTTCCTGCACTCGACCATCATGGCTGGAACCTGTGTGGACATGATAACTTAGGGAAAATCATTTGTAGTGCTTGGATTTGTAGATTTTTTTTTTAAAATTGCATAAACGCACTTAAGGAATGTGCAGCGATGTTCATGGTGATTGACAGAGGGGACAGGATATGACATGAACCACTCGAAGTCAGCTGTCTTCTTCTGAGAGTCTCCTACAAGGCGTACCTGTCAAACGCTGTGGTACAAAGGGTTATCTGGGGTTGTTTCCCTTTTTCTAAGTTGAAGCATCCACACATTTTATCAAGAAAAGCTTCTAAGCTTTGACAAAACTGAACGCTGAACAGAGCCTTCCAAACCAGCATGGCTGTACTCCCATCTTACAACTTCCTAAAGAAGGTGATCAAAATCAACGAATGCCATTTAACTTTTTTTTTTTTTAACTAATGCAATGAAATATGCAAGTTTGTCTGGAAGGAAAGGCTGGGGAGGGAAAGCGCTTAGCTTTCCTTGACACGGTCATTTTAGCATGCTTTTTTTGTATCTTCAATTTTCCACTTGAAACCAAGACTATCAGAGTTTGTTATATTTCTGTATATAATTTAAGTGATATATAACTAGTATAAACAATAAGTCTCTAAACAGATTTTTATGTTATACTCTTGGATTTTTTTCTCATAAGTAGTTTTTACAAAACAGGTATCTGTTAAGTAACTACTGTCTTATAGTGTGTGCTTTCTCTGCTTTTTTTTTTGTTTTAGCAATTGCATATAACTTTAAAAATTATAGCTTTTTGCTTCTTGTCAGATCTGTGAGTGTAAAACATTGATAACTCAGAACGATGAACAAACTCAAATCTGCCCTCATTCCCTCAGCGCCAGCTCTCGCCAGATGTTAATGTTAGTTGTTCAACTGGCTAATCCAATCCATTGTTCATGCTAGCTAATTCGTTATCTTGACGTTTTTGGAAAATCTGTTCTCAAAAGAGCACATTCTATTGTGGCTTTGCAATGCCACGAAGGTAATATCAACAACACCACAACTCTATAGACATAGCTCTTGTTCTCTTTGGAGCAGCGGGACAGGATTCATCCAGGCAGTCATAATCTGTGTAACTAACTCTGCTTCTCTACGTCCCATTTCTTCTTTTAAAAATGGGGAAATAGGAACACCACAAACGATTACACAACCTAGGGTTCTGTTACATTATTTTTAAGCAGAGTACTTGGGGGTCGTCTCGCAATGAAAAAATTCTAATTATCTGCAGAACTTTAATGAGGAAAGACATCAAATGTAAGACTCCACCTCTGAGGCCCTTATAAAGTCCTTTTAATGTTGTTCCCATTCCTAGAACAATGTGATAAAAACAACAGAGGGCACATACAACTTCAAGTAAGAGAGGAAGCCAGACTGGGCACATCAAAAGGGCTGTGCTCATGTCTGGGTTGCTCATAGCCCGGAATGCTCATCCTTGGCCCTGGCACCCTGATCCCTGCCTCTCCTTCACCAGCACTGAAGACTTAAAGGTCATTGGGTTCCATTAGCATTGGACGTAGCAAACTCACTGATCAATAAATAAATGTGTAAGTGTTTTTGCTACTGTTTTTAAGTGACCAAATTAGGAGCTGGCTTCGTTTTCAGTGGTGGTTCTATATGCCATTTGATATTTAATTATTGGTGATTGAAAAACCACACTTGAATGTTCTGGAATTTGGGTATGTCTAAGAAATCAGATATCTCAGTTCTACAGTAATTTTGATTAGGCAAGTCTAGGTAATTTTGTCAAGCAAACAATATGTGGATGTTTTCTAGGGATATTTCAAGTTCTCACTCAGTTTTCTTTCTCCCTGACTAGGTCTAGACCCGTGCATTAGCAACAGCTGAACTAACATAACCTTTGGTTTTGAAAATTCTGGGTTACTAAGAAATTAGTAATAGCCATTTTAACCTAAAAACAAAAACAAAAAAGCCCAAAAGCCCTTTCAAGAGAGTGAAAGTGATAAGCTGACTCAGACTTTATATGAACGTGATACAGCCACTAGTGAATAATTCCATGTAACAGGACCCGGCTCTCATGAAATCTGAGTCATTGGTTCTGCTCTCCAAAGTTAGTGTCTGCTGTGCACATTTCGGCATTTTCAAAATGCAGCAGACCCACTAGGTCAGAAATACCAAATCTTGTTTCTCTGTGATTGATCCCTGCCCCTTGTTAGTTTGTAAAGTGACATGTTTAAGGAGATCCCACGTAGCACTTGGCTGGTTAATATTAACCTAACTATATCGTACATTATTACCCCCTATAACATTTGATATCTCAACACCTAGAATGCCTTTATTCTAGTGAATAGTTCGCCTCTGTTTTTGTATACTAAGTAAAATTAGATTTACGCCGTATCTTTTACAGCATGTGTGTGTGTGTCTGTGCACTTGTGTCTCCACACCATGTACTGCAGTTCGTGCATGGAGGTCAGAGGACTGTGAGTACCAGAAGCTCGGGTCCTCAAGCTTGGCAGCACCCAGCCATCTCTCTGGCCTGCTCTTGCTGTGTGCATCCACAAATATTTTCAGTATATGTAATATTGGGTTCTTGCTAGATTCATGAGGATTCTACTGTTACCTGCATCTTTTAAATGTTCATGGTATTTCAAGCAAATTAGCACAGGGACCCACGGTGAGCAAGTTTTAAGCTCTATGTTTATGGTCTAAGCACTTCACTGGGTATTTAAATATGTTAAGATTCCAGTATTTTATGAAATAGTTTGTTTTCCAGTTTCTTTTGAAGATTCCTAAAATTATGCTCAGCGAGATGACTTTTCCAAATCCTAGGGTTTAATGTATGTCCATGCAGTCACCTCGTCCTTATTTTGTCTTTCTCATGGAAAATCTCATTTTCAATTATTTTTTTAGTCTTAATTCAGCAATGATTTCCTATATAGAATGTCTACCAGTAGTAAATTTTCAATTTTCTGTCAACCTGCCTTTAAGACAAGCACTATCATGTTGGGTTTTGATCTCCTATTCTTTCCCATCAATGGCTCAGTGGCTATGGTGGTATAACCCCACAGTGGTCAGTAGAAGAGCCAGGCCTCAAACGCAAGTCTAAAGGCTTCAACTCCGAACCTGTACACTGTCTTATCTACTTCAGAAGGAGACACATGGAAAGGGGGAAATGGCCGTGGAATCTCCAGGACAGAATCCATGCAGCCACAGGCTGAGCAGCGGCACTCTCTAAACACTGACAGTAGGCCATTCTGGCTGCTGTTGTTTGGGTAAGGGCATCCTATGTATGAATCTTGCCATAAAATCACTAGGGACTAAACATCGGACAGAGTCAAGAATTAAAGAGTCTATAATAACAGCATGATTAAACTCACCTGCAGAAACCTTGGGAAGAGATGGTTTGACTCAATGCCAATATAAATGTGCAGCAGCTCCAGGAGGGATATGGACTGGCAAACCCGCATAACCAGCCCGATGGCATAAAACGTGTCGACCATTGAATCTGTGTCAGTGACAGAGATGGGCACAGTGAGTCAAAACCGCACCAGAGTGCATGCTTGCGGAGTGCCGCAAAATACAACTGAGATACACTTATTGTTTGTGCAAAGATCACTCTAAATAAACTGTTAAACTGTAGCCGTGAGGTACAGCCCCACCAAGTACTGGGGTACTTACAAGAAGTACTGTTTAGTACTTACAAGAAGTACCATGGGACTTATAGGAAGCATGTGGATATTTACAGAAAGGCATGTATAGTTCTTTTTTACTGGTCCTCTCCCAAAAAGAACTGAAACTTATGAAGTCTTCACAGCCAGAGTTGTATTTATTCCCATTATGTGAGATTCTTACTCAATTTCCACATAAATATAATCAGACAGAAGCTAACTCCCTTGGGGTGTAGATAGTTTGGCAATGAACTTGCTAAAAAAAAAAATCCAGAGAAATTTTATAGAAAAGACACTGATGAAGCTGTGATTTCAGACACCAAGTCGATCTGCGCTTCGGTCCTGACAGGTTGGACTAGTGACTTTGGGTTTGTTTTAAGCACTGAATTGTGGAGTTGGTGTTGTTAGAGGGTATAACTGAGATGTTCTTAGAGGTCCTCAGAGGGAATAATAATAATAATAATAATGACAAACTTATTGCTTTAAATCTTAAAATCCTGCCACATTTAGAAACTTCTAGTGGTGATTTTTCTAATTTTACTGTTTCCAGGTATTTACATGATTCTCACGGACCAGGTATTAGGGTTTATTTTCTTGGTGTCTCTGTAAGACAGGTGCTGTTATCACGATGCCCCTCTCAGAGGCAGTCCTTTACACACCAATAGTCCATACTCCTGACCCACTTGCCTGTGCCATTCCACAGTCCTGACAGAAGAAGGTAGTGGGGCATACAAGTTCATCGCCTAGAGCAATGGTTCTCAACCTAGGGCTCAAACACCCCGTTCACAGGGGTTGTATGATGTGGGATTCCCCTCTGCATGCTGTGAATAAATCTGTTTATTACCATTGGTTAATAAAGAAACTGCTTCCGTCAATGGCTTAGTCAGGCTGGAAATCTGAACAGAGATATAGAGAGAGCAGGCAGAGTCAAGGAGATGCCACGTAGCTGCTGAAAGAGACAGATACCAGATCCTTACCAGTAAGCCACAGCCTCATGCCCCTATATAGATTAATTGAAATTAGTTAATTCAAGATGTAAGAGCTAGCTAGAAATATGCCTGAGTCATTGGCCAAACAGTGTTGTAATTAATATATTTTCAGGTCTGGAAATGAAAGAGCAGTCTCTTTCTACGATTTTCTACGATTGCATATCAGAGATCTTGCATATCAGATATTTACACTACAGTTCATAACAGTAGTAAAATTACAGCTATGAAGTAGCAAAGAAATGTTATGGTTGGGGTCACCACAACCTGAGGACCTGTATGAAGGGGTAACAGCATTAGAAAGGCTGAGAAGCACAGGCTGAGGAAATGGAACTGGTCGCCGACTCCATTGTTCTCGGTCTTCTTTTCAAATGAACAAACCATGTATGTTTCTTTAATCATCTATGGCTGCTACAATCACAGCGTCATATCATAAAGACGCTGGTGGCTAAAGCCACTTTCCCCACGGGGACACAGGATGTGAGTGACCTGGAGTCTGCCCACACAGCCTCACCTAACCTTGAAGGCACACAACTGATTGCTTCCCACCACTTGTGTCTCAGCTTCTTTCTGTTTGAACACTCCCGGTTCTCCTAGCTGACGCTCATGTCTTCTGCTGTAGCTCTGAGATCGACAAAGGCAAGAATGTATACTTTTTCAATACAGTCGAGACACAGAATGGCTGGTGGCAGCCCCGGAGGCGGTTCTCCATTGATGAGCTCAGCATGGTTTTTTTCCAGCCATGCTCGCCTTTGTTTTTAGCTAAACCAGCAGTTGCTCAAATTGTCGAGTCACCAAACAGTTGTAAACTGTGATGACACTTACTCATGAGGGGATGGAGCACAGAGAGAATGTTGTTTTGACAGTCACTTGGTGATTCATTCTTTAACGATCTGAAATGAATAGTTTAAAGAAACATCTTGACTTTTTAGGAAACTGAAGGGAGCGTATGATTCAAGTCATCAATACCAACTCCACATAGGTAACTAGTCATCAGTGTGCTGTGTCATGTGCGTATTATGTAAGGGGTCAAACGGTCTTGGTGGGGTGCGACATTTGTCATTCAGTTACTGGTAATCTTCAGCTCCCCCAAACGTGGGGAATAAAAATCAGTGGAAGAATTTCATTGATTTCTCATTGCTTTGTATAGAATGTCAGGTTGGAATTCATGCATTCCTCAAAATGCATTGAATTTGTGAGTCTGGTGCAGAAGCCAAAAGGAACATCTCAACGATACGACTTTGCTTCCAAAGCCAGCTGCCTACTCTGGGGCAAGATAGGTCCCTTCCCCTCAGTCTCACCTACTCCTTGCTACAAAAAGGTTTCAGTTTGAAATAATGAAATATGGTTATGGAAAAGCAAACTCTAGAGAAGTGAATGATCCCAGGTGTGCTGAACAGAAGTTCAAAATGAAAATCTGTAAGACGAGATAAGAACAAGGAATAAAAGTTAAAAATCCAAACTGCTTCATAGTTTACCTTTTCCAAATGAGAAGAATCTGGCTGTCATATTTGTCAGTATCCAGGAGTGGCCGCAGAACTGGACGAGGTAATAGATGAAGAGGTACACATCCTTTCTATACCTGTAAACACAGGGACACAGAGCTGGACCAGGTATAGATGAAGAGGTACACATCCTTTCTATTCCTGTAAACACAGGGACACAGAGCTGGACCAGGTATAGATGAAGAGGTACACATCCTTCTGTACCTGTAAACACTGGGACACAGAGCTGGACCAGGTATAGATGAAGAGGTACACATCCTTCTATACCTGTAAACACAGGGACACAGAGCTGGACCAGGTATAGATGAAGAGGTACACATCCTTCTGTACCTGTAAACACAGGGACACAGAGCTGGACCAGGTATAGATGAAGAGGTACACATCCTTCTGTACCTGTAAACACGGAAATGCCATTGGACACATCTTTAAATGTATCGTTCACACAGAGCAGGCAGAAGAAAAGTTCCACATCAGAGCTCTATATCGGGGTCTTTTTTGGGGGGTTGGCTCTCCAAACCCACTAAGGTTTGATGGAACAAACTTACCTAACATGAGCATATTGATTGAGATTGCTGAAAAGCTAAGATAGTTCTTTTCCAGACTTCATTTTCATCTTTGATAAAATTCTAGCCTTGTTTCTCTAATACTTACAGACAGCTTTGAAATTTCAAAGGAACAAGGAAGGAACATGGATGCAAAGGGATTGGTTTGGGCAGCTTGCAGCCCAGTAACTAGGCTTGCCAAATGAATGATCTTGAAAATGTTGGCTTGCCATTATCAGGGGGAGTGGTCACAACTGGTGATTTAGGAACTGGACACACCTGACTTTTGAGTACCTTGTGATTAGGTTACTTTCTTCTCACCCCCGCCCCCCCCCCCCCGTTGTCCTTGACAACAGAATCCAGTCTCCTTCATCAGACACACATAAAAAGCAATTTAGTTGCTTAAGCCAAAAAAAAAAAAAAAGGAAGTCAAGCTGAGTGTAAAAATGTGTTGTGGATTGCTGGGGAGATGACTAAGAGAAGATTGACAGATTCCTGGTTTCAGGGAGTTCCAAAAGGCGGTGCTTGAAGGGCTCCCCGGTGTGCAGAAGGCTGGATGGAGTGGGCCTGTCAGTGTAAACAAGGACATCTCTTAGCTGGAGATGGGCAACCTCTGAGACAAGCTTTATAAACTGGGAAGCCGATTCTCTGGCAGTCAACAGATGACCCAAAACTGCTAAAGGGATTAGGAAGGGGAAACTCCAACCCAACCAGAATCACCTGGCTGTTGGTAAACACACACCCCAGGCCCTAATTTTTCTGGAATCCCTCCTGTGGTGGGCGCTGCTGCCACTGGACACTCTGAAAAACACCCTGCGCCAAAGTCTAGGACGCCGCAGGGACAAGGAGGAAGGGAAGGACTAGTCGGGGTGCACCAAGAGGTAGCCAGCCGTGCAGGCTGTCCTTCCATAGCCTCATCTCCCAAAAGGGGGGAAACGGCCCAGGCCTCCGTCCTGAGTTTGAGGAGAAAATACGATCTACAAGCACCAGGCAGGAAGAGCAGCAAATGTTGAACAGAATCCGGGCGTTGCCCAAGAGTTGAAGCCGGTGGGTGCGCTTTGCCCAGCGCCCTGGCCCCTCCCTCCCCGCCGCCCTGAGCCCTACCTGGGCTGCAGCCAGGTGGGCAGCACCGAGGGCCCCATGGGCCACAGTCTACACCTCCAGCGCCTCCGGGAAGCAGCAGGACCGGGCAGAGAAAGCAGGAGGGGCGGCCCAAGAGCCAGGCGCGGAAGGGCGGGGCTTCAACACACTCAGCATTTTTTTGTTGTTGTTGTTTCTTGTTTTTTTTTTTTTTTTAAAAAAAAAAAAAAAAAAAGGTCGTGAGATGGGCAGGAGATGAAAGCCAAGTTCCTGTCATGCTGCTCTAGGATAACTGGCTGGGGCACGGAAAGTACGCTGAATGAACAAACACATCCTCGCCCCAGGCTTACCAAACTCATCAAACTCATCTGTGGGTGGGGCCCACTAGGAAAGCTAAGCAGGCTCTAACTACCCTCCCCAGGGTGCGTGGATCCCACAGGCTGGTCGGACCTTCTCTTAGAAACCCTGAGTGTTAGGGAAGCACTCAGCCCAACACCTTTCCAAATGGGGGCCAGAGCCCTCCAGAAATCCATCCCTGACACCCAGAGCCCTGACTGACAGTGATGTGCTCAAAGGCACAGCTTTCATCTTGCCTTAACGCAGCTGTCCAGGGCCAACACTCCCGCACTCCTTTTCCTGGTTTTCTGGAGAAATGGCATCCCCACCTTCTGGGTTAGTGAAGGTCAGGAGCATCTTCCAGTTACTCTGTTTTTACCAGGAAGAGGGACTAAAACAGCCTCCAAAGTGCCTTTTTCCCCCCAAAAAACCAAAATAGGTGGTACAGTTACATACAGTTACTGGAGTTGGAAGGTAGAGCTCCCATCTTACCAAAAGGGAAGTTGTGGCTTTAAGAAATATTGTCACTCACCACAGGTCTCACAGCTGATAAACAGCAGGGTTAGAAGTTAAGAGTCAGCAAATTTTCTTATTGGGCCATGGTTTCCTTCCTCATAACTGTCACTATGTCTGCCTCTTGAAGTGTCCCGCTATTCCATGCCCTCAGCCAGGAGCAAGCTCCCCTGTCGCCTCAGTCACTTCTCAAACCCATTGCCAGTTGTTGCCCCGTCTGCCTGTCTCTGCGACACACAGGCAGTCTAAGAACATTTCCAATTCACACCTGCAACCCCAGCACTCCAGAAGCTGAGGCAGGAAGATGATCGCAAGTTCAAGGTCAGCCTGAACTACACAAGGAGTTCCAGGGCAGCCCGGGAACAGAGGGAGACCCTGTCTGGGAGGAGGGGTGGGGACGCATTTTCACATCTCTTACGGTAGGTTCTGAATTCACTTTTTCAGCATCCCCCTCCCAACCGGGTACCTTCTGCTATCACCATCCAGAGCCCGCTCTCGTTCCCCATCACCCTCTTGCTCCATGCACCTTACAGTCTGGCCTCCCAACACTCTGAAAAATGTTCTCAGGGTTCCTGGAGGCCCCTTGACTATTCCTCAGTGTTGGCTTATAGCAAGTGAGCAACTGAGCATTAGTTGAGCTTGTGATGCCCAAGCAGACACAGGTGAATGTCCCCAAAGCCATCTGCGCCCCAGCCCCAGCAGCGACATAGGAGTTTCTGGGAGGACTGGAGCTGGGAGGGCAGGAATCAGCCAGAGAAGATTTCTTTATCAGCAAACATGTCTTCATTTTCCTCCTTCCCCCTTCTCTTTTCCAGCTCTGCATGCAGCTGTGACTTCTGTCTCTTTGAAGCTTCCTCCCTCTGCTTCCTCAGAGGCCTGCCCTTGGTCAGCTCCTCCTCACACCTACCTGCAACAGAGACAACCACCGTGCATAGCTTCTTGCCCTTGTGGACTTTCTCTCTCTGCTCTGGCTAATACCGATTCTCTTCTGAGTACCAGCTCTGGATTTGGAACGGTTTCTGGATATTGCTATGTGTAAGTCTTATCCTTACTTCCAGTTGAAACTGTTTAAAATAAGCTTACTACTTTTCTTCCTAGACCATTGCCTGATTTCCCATAGTGAGGTCACCCCATTCTAAACGGCTACTTAGATTTAAAACGTGGGTGTCATTGTCTCCCCAGCCAGTACAATCCTATCCATTAGAGCTCCTGCTGACTTCCTGCATTCACATTCTCTAGTACCAATGTGATGCAAAGCCACCCCAACCCATCACCACAGCAGCCTACTGTATCCTCACTGGACCACATGGCTTACATCTTTCCAATGCATCTAAGGCTCCATCTTAGTGCCAGATGAAAAACAGGGCAATGAACCAACCAAACTAACAACAACCAAACCTTTCCAGTCCATCAGGGAACCCTCGTATTTTTTAAGGAATATGTACAAGAATAACTTATGGGAAGTCAGTCGAGATGGGAAGTGAAATTCCCCCCTTTCCTCGGAAGACTCAGTGGTGCGCATGCTCCCCAAGCCTGGCCAGTGATATGGAGATAGCTTCATCCTGCCTCCCTACTTCCTGCTCTCCCCTCCTTCAGCCCAGACAGAGATTCGTGAGAGGCTGCATTTCTTCCTCTTTTTAGTATGCATGTTATTTTTAATGATGTGTGTCTGAGTGCACACGAGCACAGGTGCTGGGGGAGGCTAGAGGACTCTGGTCCCCTGGAGCTGGATTTAAGGGCAGTTGTGAGCTAACAGAAATAGGTGCTGGGAACTGAACTCAGGTCCTCTGCAGGAGCGGTGTTTGCTATTAACCACCGGGCCATCTCTCCAGTCCCGAGACAGCATTCTTCGGACATGTAACACCCGTGTTACTCTAGGTACAGTTTGCATGCCACTGAACTGTTCGTGAGCCAGGCAAGGGCCTGGAGATTAAAAGAACACACAAGAAACCTGGGTCATTCGAAATGAGATAAGCCAAAGGCCATTTATTTAAGCTTAGGAAATACCTTATATACCTAGCTGCTGCACAATGGAATCCCCCGCCCCAGGCAGGTAGGAAATTACCACGCCCAAGATGGAGTAAACAATGGCCCTATAGCTAACCACCAGGGTAGCAGAGGAAGCACAGGATAGCCGGAAAATGCAACAAAATGTCTGGCCAGAAACTGTCCTCGAGATGAACTCCAGGAGGAGGGGTAGACTCATGGGCCCTACAAAGACAGAGAAATGCTGCTACCTGACCCCACTAGCCACTCTCTGTCACTGCACCTCTATGAATCTTGCACCCTTTACTTTACATGGCTGTTCCACTTTCCCTTCCCTTCTCACAGACCAGCATTTACCTGCCAGAGTTCTATTCATTCTTTAAAGGCTTTCCCAGAGCTTCCTGTGGGAGTCACACTGGGTTAATGTATGTCTACAGTGACACATACCTTGGGGTATCATTACTCAGGTCCACCTTCCTCAACTAGATTACAGAGTCCAAGAAGGCTCTGTGTCTTATGCTCACAGTGAGGACCTGGCAAGTTTACACCTTTGTAAACACAAGTTTCTTTTGTGAAAAGCACACAGCTGTTGGGCAGATAAAATGTACGGATGAGAGAGGCTCACGGTATTTAGCGCAGTGTCCGGAACAACAGGTGTCTATGAAGGGGCTGAGGATAGAGGAACCAGGTAAACCTGTGTTTTCCTAGCCCAGAATTTTAACAAAATGAACTCTAGGTGA